TGGGAACAAAAGGCACAACATTTTTGAGTGAAGCAAATGTATGGAAAGAAAGCTTCACTTTTCCAATTATGACCAGGTAAACTACTCACTCCTCATCTGTGAGAGCACCTAACAGGGACTCAAAAATGCTGCTTTCCTCCTCCTTGCTCTCCCAACCCAAGAGCACCCAGGCTTGGGAAAGCTCAGGGTCGAGACCACTCAAAGGTGTCACAGTTTGGGAACTCCTGAGGTGGAGTATAGAGTACATTCTGAAGGACTCAAATCAGCTCCAAAGTGCTCCTGCACACTCAGTGCTCTACAAGGTACAAAACTATGAAAGAACCAGAACCACATTCTAAAGTTATGAGGGAATAATTCTTAAGGAATACTAAAGTCCTTAAAAAAACCAAGAGAAAAATGCAGAATTACGTAAGAAATGGAGATTACAAACATCAGTAACAGACATAAGTACTTCAGAGTTAGAGGACATCAAGCTAGTATTTCGTAAAGAGCAACCACATGACAAAAATACTCAAAGCTGTAAGCCTTCCTTGGCCTTGGAAGGTCATGAGACTTTTTGGCTAAAACAAAGAATGCCTTAGTGAGAGAGAAGAAAAGAACTTCCAGACTTCTAGGTGGCTCCCACTTTCTTAAAAAACCTCCTCCTTTCTCTTAAGTGGATGGTCCAATGATGTCTAGCTACCATGCCAGTCATATCAACAGCGGTACAGCACTGAGTATCCTTAGAACTCTTAGAACTCTTGGCTGGGCGTGGTGGCTCACGCCTATAATCCTAGCACTTTGGGAGGCCGAGGTGGGTGGATCACCTGAGGTCAGGAGTTCAAGACCAGCCTGGCCATCATGGTGAAACCCCATCTTAAAAAAAACAAAAAACAAAAAACTCTAACCCTCGTTTTTCTTCTTTTTTTTTTCTTTATTGTACTTTAGGTTCTGGTTCTGAGGTACAGGTGCAGATCATGCAGGATTGGTGCATAGGTACACACCTGGTAATGTGGTTTGCTGCCTCCATCCCCCACACTCGCCCCTCTCCCCTGGCTCCCAACCTTCCTTTGATGTCTGGCACCAGTAACTGACAGCAGCTAACATATTATCATGTGACACTGTGTAAAACAGTGAGGCAGAGTAAGTTTTTTTTTTTCTTTTCAGTAATCCTGTGCTGGTAAGAAAGATAATTATTTTAATGATGTACTTAGAAAAAGGATTATGTACAACAGAAAGTCACAAGGGTAACACTAATTAAAAGATGTCTCAATTTATTACTATGACTCCTTCACAGAGCCTAAATGCATTTTTACCTGATATTTGCAAAGGCAATTTAATATTACACATATAACCAGCAAAGAAGGAATATAGAAGTGTGGGTCTGGCTTTTCTATCATGAAAAGCAAATTTCACAGTGATAAAGAAAGCAATCAAGATATAAATACAGAAACTGGGCAAGGTGGCACATGCCTGTAGTCCCTGCTTCTCAGGAGGTTGAGGTGGGAGGATCACTTGGGGCCAGGCGTTTGAGACCAATCTGGGCAACACAGTGAGACCCCATCTCAAAAAAGAGATAAAGATACAAACTGATATTACGATCTTACTCATTATATCAGCATATTTATTGAGCACTTACCACATATACCAAGCACTGGTGAATAAATCAGGTATTATTAACTTTATATTAACCTCAAGGGCAAGAGAAAGACCCTAAGTGATTAAATAATATACGATTGTAAATATTAAGAAGGAAAAAATAATTGTGCTATGAGGGAGAAAATAAAGGGCCTCTAATTCATATAAGGATAAGAGTGGCCTTGTCAGAGATGACCTTTATGAGAAAGGATATTTGAGCTAGCACCCAAGGATGGGAAGTTACTCAAGAAATGATCCTAAAATAAGGAGACTAACAGCATGAGCCACAGACCTGAGGCTAGTCTGCTGGAGAACTGGCCAAGATGACAGCAAGAGATGCAGGTAGAGTAGGGGCAAAGTCATGCAGGACCCTAAAGTAATGTCGAGGATTTCGTATCTTATCCCAAAAGTAAATAAATGTGTTTCCTGAGAGCCTTGAAAACTTTAAAACAGCAAATGACTTTTTTTTTCTTTTTCAGGCTGCTGGTAGGAAAACAGACTGGAAGAGATACAGAGTGTATGCAGGAGGCACCGCCCCAAGGAAAGATAATACAGTACAGTGGCTTGCATTAGAACAGTGGAATAGTGGGGACTGAAAAATCAGACCGGTTTGAAAGAGATTTTGTAATAAAAATGGACAGCAGGACTTTGTGATGAACTGGTTTGCTGGAGCTAAGAGAATAGAAGAGAGAGTTTTGTGAGCTACTCATTGGGTGGATGAGATGAAAAACGGACAAGGAACAGTTTGAAAGTCTGAGTGATCAAGAGCTCAATTCTGAAGGAGTTCGACATGTTGCCATTTATTGGCTGAGATGTCCAAGCACATTTAATACATACTTGATATTCTACTCACTACAACATCCCTTTTAGCAGTAGTATCCCCATTTTCCAGAAATCAAACTGTAGATCACAGAGACTAAAGCATCATGGCCAAGTTCACTGATCCTGGGAGTGACAAAGTCACAAGTGCAACTGAAGGCAGGCTGGCAGCGGGGGTAAACATTCTTTCCACTATACAGAATATTTGGAAACTCTACACTTTGAATTTTTAAGCCCATTTAGGGTTGGAGCAAGTTAGCATCAAAGAAGAGTAAACAGACATTACATTATTTTTTAATCAAAATCTTTAATTTATGATGCATGTTTCTCTATTCAACTCCCTATCCACTCCACTTTTACCTGCAAAGAGTTTTGTAACGTTTTGAACACTAGCAAGAGATCTAAGATCTTAATGTTTTACAATAAATGAGCAGTCATGCCAGGAATTAACCATAAGAAAAAGGCAACAATATCCCGCAGCAAACAATAATTTTACTTCTAAGTCATTATATACATCAATATAAAACAGATCAATTAATGAGTCAGAAACCCTCATGAACTAATCATTTCTCAAAACCAAGGCAGCCAGGTCAATAACTGACATAAGTCACCACGTATAGAAAGCTACAAGAGCAAAGCACTGAAGATTCAGATTAAAAGGTTGCAACCTTAAAAAATAAATAAATAGAAGGCAAAACAAATTATACAACCATGCAGAATTTTAAATTTGTAATTCCCAAATATCTGAACCAAATGCCAAATTCAGGAAGCATGCATCCTATAAACAACTTAGAACACTCTCTGTTCTTTGTGACTGCTATTTCCTGAAGAACACTGCCACTTCTGCAAAGTGAAATGCCTTCCCTACCTGCACAGCCCCATGATTTGCTCCCTCTCAGGGCCATCTAATGCACCCCTAAGCTACTAAAGCCCAGAAATAAGGTTTAAGACACCTAGAAAGAACTGAATGCATAACTGTCAATTGTGTCCATTACGGAAAGTACCACCGAAAGACTCTTGAGGAAAAAATAAGGAAGGGGAAGATTTTTCAAAGGTTTTATCATATGTATTACAAATTGTATTTTGTGGCATTTGATCCTTCAATAGAATAATCATCAAACTATGTTCGGTCTTCTTCAAGTGGAGGATGGTCATGTGTAATTTTACGGTTTTGGGAGACTTCCTCATGGAGATAAATAAAATTAAAAGTACCACTGGTATGCCCGCTAAAAGGTAAAACTCACACAAACCACTTCCTTGAATGATAGTGCTGTCTCCTGCGTTCTGATTCTTGCGTCCACCCTGCACTTCTCCCTGCAGAGAGAGCTGGCTGGCATTCACTACTGCCTCACTCAGGCAAAGGATGGGATGTCGAAAACCCGTTAAGAACGCTTTTCATTTTCTGTTCCTTCATAACATGATCGTAACTCCTGGCAACTCCAAGATGAAAGGCAAAAAAGAAAATAAAAACTACCTGGGGCCCCCTACCAGAATGAGTGGTTAATCTAATGGAGAGAAAAGCAGAGATTTAGCCATATTTAAAAATGCTTCCTGGGAACAAAGCAGATAAAATGAATTGCTAAGCTACAATCTACTGGAAAATCCATAAATGTTCGTCCCTGCTGTCACAGGGCTAGAGGATTTTTTTTTTTTAATGCAATGCTTTAATGCTAACCAGACAGGACTAATCTGACAGGTTAAGTTAGCTATGAAACGTGCTTTGCATTTATTTCGCTTCTAAATCCCTAAAGATCGGGAGCAATACTGACCCGCAATTATATATCCTACGCTGCACTGCTCAAGATGCCATTTGATGCTGGGAAAGTAGGGGTTTAGCAACACCAGGCGGCTCTATGATGCTAAAATAACAACGCAACACTGGTTTCCGAACCCAGGTACTCATATTTTATAACCCAGTGCCGCACCAGGACCCACATTCAAAGCTCTCATCTCTTCAAGTTGAATCTTCAGGGTTTGTGCAATTTACCCTCTCAAAGTTTCTAGTTTGCAAGACAGAATTACTCTGAGCGTCCTCGCTTGTGGACTTCCCTCCCCAAAAGGATTGACGACAAGGGGGAGTAAGAACGCAGATGGTTAACAGTTCAAATGAAATTTTAAAACATATAAACCAATCATTTTTTTCAGAGGAGAAAATAAGCATTCACCAAACCGCCACCCGGCAAGCGAGCATCCGATTTCCATCCGGAGGGAACAAACATTTTAAAAGCCAGACATAAAATTCCCTTCGCAACAAAAGTGGCCTCTAAACTCCCTTGCCAAGGACACTGAGAGGAAGCAGGAAAGCAATCACCAAGCTCGTACTTTCAGTCGGCTGCATGTGTGCCGCGGAGAGAGGCGCAAAGGGTGACACACCAGGGAAAGGTGAACGCAGAGGGAGCGGGAGCCCGCCGCGGGCTGGGTGGGGGCGGAACGGACGAGGGACCCAAGGTGCTAAGAGAGGGGCGATGGGGCGGAGGGCAGCCCTGAGGCTGCAGGCGAGGCGGGCGGAGTCCCCAGCGCAGCCCGGATCGCCGCCTCCGCCGCAGAGTAAAGTTAATACTTACTCAGTTTCGCAACTGCGCCGCCCCCGCAGGCCGCCCGGCGGGGCCGGCAGGGGCGCTGGGGACGCGGCGGCACCCGGAGCTCCGCGGCCGCCCAGCGCAGGTCCGCAAGCCGCACAACCCGGCGCCCCTGGCGCCGCGCGCCCCGCACGGGCTGGAGGCCCCGGCTTCCCGGCGCGCCCTCTCCGCGCACCTCCCGGCCCGCGCTAGGTGAGTGTGGACGCCCTGGCGAGGGTGCCGCGGGGCGCGAGCGCCCGGCCAGCGGCAGGGACGCCGCGGGAGCCGCCCCCAGAGCCACCGCCGCGGCGGGAGTGAGCGGGCGAGGCTCGGCGAGGCTAAGCGAGGAGCTGCGCGGCGGACGCTGAGCGGGGCGCGGCGCGGAGCGACGGGCGAGCGCGGGCAGAGGAGTCGGCGGTCCGCTCGCTCCCGCGGCCGGTGCCTCTGGGCTGGGGGCCGGGCTGGGGGCCGGGCCGGGCCGGGCGGCCGGGCGACTCCGCCCCTTCGCCTGGCCGCGGCTGAGCGCGCGAGAGGAGCGGCGCGGGGGCGCCCCCCTCGGCCGGGCGCTCGGGTTTCAGCCGCCGCTCCCCCGCGCCCCGCCCGCGCCTGGCCCGCTCGCCGGCGCCGGGAGAGACCTCGTAACGGAACTGGGACGCCAGCGCTGCATTGTGGGAGCTTTTAAAGCTGCGGGAAGCGCGGCGCGACCCTCGGGCCCACCGGGCCACGCTCGCCAGGCCCGCGGCGCACCGAGGCCTGAGGACTCGCAGGCCGGGCGCGGGGAGATGACCAGTGCCTCGTGACGCCCCCACGGGCAAAACCTTCCATCGCCCGGGGCTGAGGCTTGTCAAACTGCCCTCTACGGTCATCCGGAAAGTAGGAGTCTTTTTCCGCAGAGGGAAAAAAAAATTTTTTTAATTTAAAAGAGCCCTTCCATCCCCCCTCCAAGGACTGGGTTTGAATTGCTTTTCATCTGCAGTGGCAGTGATTCAGCGTCCCTCTTAGCAGCAGGCAATGACAGAGGCAGGAGACGGAAAAAGAAAGAGAGAACACACAGCAAATGAATCAAACGGACGTGAGTAACAAAAGTTTAGAAAGAGCTGGGCTCGGATTCAGAAAAACGCCTCATCCCCACCTTCCTCCCCTCCCCCACCTTTTAAAAATAGCAGATAATCAAGGAAGGAAACAGTGCTTTCATATGGAAATACAGATGTATATGTTGTTTTCACTGTTCCACTCTTCTTTGTGTGTGACATGCAATTACTCAAGGCACTGGACGGAATTCAACCTTTCGATTTTGTGCTCACACACACCCCAACTCCGCAACAGCTATTAATTTGGAGGGCGTTGGGGTGCGGATAGTGTATGAAGTACAAGAAAGCATTCTAGTTATATGCCTCCCCTTTAATTTTCCAGACTCTTGCTTTTTTTTTTTTTCTTTTATTAAACATCATCAAAACAAGAATATTAAACTTGAAGCAGAATTTGTTACAGCGTATCTGACTCAGGACCTGATTTAAGGTTTGGGTTTTTTTTTTTTTTTTTTTTTTTTTCTTCCTTTGGCCCTTTGTTTATTCCTCTTGTTTTTTGACCTTTAGTTACTCCACACCTCATTAGTTCTTGACCTGCAGGTGGACTGAGAAGAGAGCGATGTTAAGACTTTACATTTGTCAAATAAACATTTGGAGAGGAGAAAGTTCTCTGTGATTCAAATGCAAAACCTAAGGGAATAGCATTTAAAAGCCAACCTGTAGGGCATGGATCTTCCCTTAACCCTATTAGAAAAGGAGTTGCCTAGCCTTAAGGTGAATGTTTCCTAACCTCACTCCCTTGTCAGCCTTTCACTTCACTGAACATCAGCCATTGCTTATTTGCCAAATCTTATGGAAAAATGTAATCCCCATCTTGTGCCCTTTGAGGCATTTGCCAATGTTGACCTCTCCTTCTTAGAACTTTCCTCCTTTGGGCGGTGGCTCACGCCTGTAATCCCAACAATTTGGAAGGTGGAGGCGGGTGGATCACCTGAGGTCCTGAGTTTCAGACCAGCCGGACCAATGGACCAACGTGGAAAAACCCCGTCTCTAAAAATACAAAATTTGCCAGGCGTGGTGGTGCATGCCTGTAATCCCAGCTACTCGGGAGGCTGAGGCAGGAGAATTGTTTGAACCTGAAAGGTGGAGGTTGCAGTGAACCAAGATGGTGTCATTTCACTCCAGCCTGGGAAACAAGAGTGAAACTCCGTTTCAAAAACAAAACAAAACAGCAGCAACAACAACAAAACCTCTTTTCTATGTGGTAGTCATCTGTTGTGTAGGTCTTGAAGCAGGGTGAGTGATAGCAGGCTAAAGTGTGGTTATCGTTGGACCAGAATTCAGGATCTGACCAAGTAGCTAACTCTTAATCCAGTCTGTGTTGACCACCAGAAGGATCTGGACCTCGGTTTTATCACACCTAGAGGTCAGCAAGTTGACTGACTCCTGACAACCAACTCTTACATGATCAGCATTTTAAAGCAGAACCAAACTTCCTGATTGGATAACAATATCCACTATTTAGGAGAAACCTTTCCTAAAAATCCAGGCATCTGGTGAGGTATCCTCACCTCCAATCTTACTTTGGTAGCTGCCAAAGTCAGTGACTTTGCCTGCATCCAGTGCTGAATAAAAGCAGAAAAACTTCTACCCTACCTAACCCATTTAGTTAATGCATTATTTCTTCAGGGTATAGTACAATTTGTTTTAGGCTTTTTTAGCTATAATCACATCCCTAGTAAGCCTTCCTGAGATCACACCAAATGTCCTTGGTGAGATTTGCAAACAGCCCTTCTGGTTTCTAATGATATTCCAGAAAGGAGCCTAACTAGAGTCAGTGAGTATTCATGCACTTCAAACCCTGTGACATAGTAAGATTTGATTTTTAAGAAAACAACTTGTGAGGATGGATTCAGAAAAGAGGCAAATCCAAACGGAGAGTCTAATCTGGAGAGCAGTGGGAATGAACAGGAGGGAGCTGTATGGAGAGATGAATGTATCATCTTACAGACCTGGAGGTCATAAATCTAAAATCAAAGTATAGGCTGTGTTCCTTCTGGAGGATCCCAGGGAGAATCCATTTCCTTGCCTTTTTCAGCCTCTAGATACCACCTGCATCCCTTGGCTTGTAGTTCCTTCCTCTATGTTCAAGGCCAACTGCAAAGCCTCTTCCCCGCTCTTTCTTTGTAATTTCTGCTTCATGCTGATGGGAACATCTCTCTCTAGTAGGAATTGATTTAGATGCTTTTCTAGCCGTATATATTACGAACTAAATGCAATTGAATTACTTATGGGAGGAGATGACAGGTGACCTCATTATTTGTCAGATCATCGTTGTATAACTGACTTGACTGTTAAGATTGCTGAAGCAGTGATTTATTACCTCAGCTAAATCTGTATCAATCTGGTAACCCATGTAACTGAAACCAAGATGTTAACACTCTGAGAAAATCTAGCTTATGTCTGCAGCTCTTGGGGATAAATCCCTTTATCTTGAAATACCTGGCAACCCCTTTTTAATGTCCAGTGGAGTCATATTGCCAAGTTTGAGAAATGTGTCTAGACCAGCATTTTCCAAACAAGCCACCAGGGAACACCAATCTGTAAGATGGTGATGTCGTTTGGATGTTTTTCCCCTCCAAATTTCGTGTTGAAATATGACCACCAATGTTGGAGGTGGACCTAGTGGAAGGTGTTTGGGTGATGGGGTGGATCTCTCCTGTAAGGCTTGGTGCCCGCCCTGCAGTAATGAGTTCATGAAAGATCTAGATGTTTAAGAGTCTGGGATCTTCGTCATCTCTCTCTTGCTCCTGCTCTTGCCAAGTGATATGCAAACTCTGCCTTTGCCTTTCACCATAATTGGAAGCTCCCTGTGGCCTCACCAGGAGCAGATGCCCATCCCATGCTTCCTATACTGCCTGCAGAACTGCGAACCATAATAAACTGAATTATAAATTGCCTTTGTAGCAATGCAAATGGACCAGTACAGACAAAATGCTGGGAAGACAGTTGTTCCATGTTCAGTAAAGTCCATGTAACATAGTCGTGACTATATTCTAGGCCAGCCAAGTTGCTTGTACTCAGAAAGAGATGGTGTTAGGACCATAGGAAAGAGAAACAATAAGCCGGGCGCGGTGGCTCAAGCCTGTAATCCCAGCACTTTGGGAGGCCGAGGCGGGTGGATCACGAGGTCGAGAGATCGAGACCATCCTGGTCAACATGGTGAAACCCCGTCTCTACTAAAAATACAAAAAATTAGCTGGGCATAGTGGCGCCTGCCTGTAATTCCAGCTACTCAGGAGGCTGAGGCAGGAGAATTGCCTGAACCCAGGAGGCGGAGGTTGCGGTGAGCCGAGATCGCGCCATTGCACTCCAGCCTGGGTAACAAGAGTGAAACTCCGTCTCAAAAAAAAAAAAAAAAAAGAAAGAGAAACAAAAACAATAAAAATAAGAAAATTTTAAAAAGGAATTGTCAGTGAATCAGAATTCATCAAGGGCAAAGCCTTAGGAAATTCCTTCATGAGGAAGTTTAGGGGAACGATGGAAATGCAAATTTTTAAACAAATAGATATGTGGTGCTGGCAGGAATAAATTATGGACTTATGAATGTAACATAAGGTCCTTTATTACCTGGACTCACCTGTCTTTCCAGCTCTGTCCCACTTCTTCAATTCTCTGTTTCACCCATAATAAACTACTTACAGCTTCCAAGTGTTAAATTTAGCCGAAAGCTGCCTCCGTACGTATTTCCAGTCAAACTAAAAGTTCTTCATACATAGTGAACTATAACCTAATGATTAAACAGATTGTAACCTACTCTTGCACCAGTCACCAAGTTTCAGCCAGTCAGAGGTGGCCTACTTGTTCAAACCATGCTCAAATAAGGGAAATGTCATGGTGTAACCAACCCAGCTGTTTCTGGACCTCATTTCTGTTTTCTTAGGTTACTTTCCTTTTTCTTTTTTCTTTTTCTTTTTTCTTTTTTTTTTTAGACGGGGTTTCACCATGTTGGTCAGGCTGGTCTTGAACTCCTGACCTCAGGTGATCCGCCCACCTCGGCCTCCCAAAGTGCTGGGATTACAGGCGTGAGCCACTGCGCCCGGCCTACTTTCCTTTTTCTGTCCGTAAATTCTCTCCAACCACTCAGCACCACTGGAGTCACTCCAAAGCTACCCTCACAAGTCATTCTTTGTTCAGTTGAGCTCTGTTAAATTTAATTTGCCCAAAGTTTTCCTTTTAGCAGAAGGTGTCAGAAATGGACCCCAAAGTAGAGGTCCCAGTGACCCCTCAGGAGCACTGAGCAACCAGACAAGGTACCTGCTGGGCCCGCTCTCTCTCAGTGTCCACTGCTCTCTTGCAGCAACTGGGGATTGTGGCTTCGTTCTCTTTCAGATTCTGAAGCTCCATACATTGCTGTTTTCAGCTATTTGAGCTTGCTTGAGCAAATTTATCTTAGCTGGGTTTAGAAGTCAATAGACATTGGACCGGGTCCAGGATTTGATTGGATCTGATAATTAACTGGCTTGGATCCAGTTAGATGCCTCAGGTACCTGACTGGGTCAGACAGAAACCACCAGTAAATATTTTAATAGCAACACTGCAGAGGTATAAACTCTAGCTCTAAGAAACTCACAAGGATTTCTGTGTTCTATCCCCTTTGTTTCTTTTTCTTGTGTGCATCGGTAGGGAAAAATCATTAGCCGAGTTAATCAAGGGGATCTGAGAGCCAAAGACAAGATTCAGCTTAAAAATGGGATCTTTAATTTTTGAGGAATGGAGTACTCTACCTTCTAGCTATACCTACCTATACCTGAATAAAGAATAGGCCCTGGAAGCATCAAATACAGAAATGGTGAAATCTTAATAATATTTAAAGTTATGGTGGAACATCCCAAATGAACAACCCTGCACTTTAAGAAGTACATTTAAAAATGAAGTATCCCAATTTAGTATCATCCAGGGATGCCTGTTAATGTTCAGAAGCTTCTAAAAAGATT